AGTACGAAAACTGATTAGCAATATCAAATTCTGTTTCATGTAATGGTAATCTTGATAACCCATCAGCCACATTTTCCGCAGATTTTACATATTCCAACCCAAAATCATAAGCGGAAAGAAAATGAGCCCACCTTTGTAACCTATTTGCTACAATCGCTGGTACTCCTTTTTTTTGTCCAAAAATACTCATCAACGGTTTATGATCGCTACAAATCGTAAAATGCCTGCCGAAAAGATATTGATGAAATTTACTAACCCCCCATTTTATTGCTAATGCTTCTTTGTCTAATTGGGAGTACCTTTTTTCTGCCTCATGAAGTACCCTTGAAGCGAAAGCTATTGGTCTATCTGGGTTACTTGAGACTTCATTAGGATGACATAATACTGCTGCTAGGCCATATTCACTAGCATCTACATTTAATTTTATTTTTTGTTTGCATCTACTCCGAAAACCAACAAACAATGGAAATAATAATAATGTTAATATATTACAAACTGCTTGCCAATCCCAACGGGTCTAAATCCTTCTGCTCGATAGCTGAAGCTGTTGATCAGAACAAAATCCACAATTCCACCACTAATACAAGCGTATGGTTCAATTGCAACAACAGCCCTCGAAAAAGCAAATCTACTAGCTGAACAATTTGCGTCCACTCCACAGTCGATTTTCTGGGAAAGGCGTCACTCACCATTCCCAAACTAGAATCCACAATGCCGGAAATCACTTTGCGACAGAGTCTAGTCAGGCGAATTTTAAAACAGCTCAATATCAACAAGGCGTCTGGCCCTGCTGAAGTGCACGTCATCGTACTTAAAAAGTGCGCAAATGAACTCGTACCAGTATTTTGGCAGACTTTTTAACCTGTTTTATAAGAAAGGGGTTTTTCCTTATTGTTGGAAGATTGCTCGAGTTCAGCCTTCTCCCAAAAAGGGCAGTCGCTTTGCTATCATTGATGGCACGGCGAAAGTTTTTAACCAACATATCCCTAAATATTTGGAAGGCTTCAACATCTTGAGCGATCATCGATATGGCTTTTGGAAAAAAAAATCAGCAGGCGACCTTCTATCATATGTCACCCATAGTTTGAATAACGCATCCGGAAAACATGGAGAATCTAGAACTGTTTCGCTTGATATTTCTAAGGGCTTTGACCGTGTGTGGCATGAGGGTTTGCTGGCCAAACTTCGATGCTATTGCTTGTCATTGCGGATAATTTTTGTATATGGCTCGTAAAGAACGTTCCCCGCAAGAGAACGTCGATGAATATCTCTCGAATACTTTCACCATAAACGCTGGTGTTCCCCAGGGATCCATATTGTCTTTCAGAAGTTGAATGTGCTTACCCTTGTGGGACTGTATATGTATGAAGCAGTAATATTTGTTAGGGAAAATAATGAACTTTTCAAAACACTAGAACATGACTACAATACTAGATTCAAACAACATTCCGCTACGGATTTAAAAAAATATACTTATATTCAAAGAAATGTGGAATTTACAGTCATAAAAATTTTCAATAATTTGTCTGATAATCTAAAAAAATGCCAATTAATAAAATGAAGCATCATCTTGAGCAGTTATTGGTACAAAAGACTTCTATAAATTGGAAGAATATTTTGAAGATAGTCCTATATAATTGTACAACTTATAAAATGTTATGCTCCATAGGTAAAAGCATCTTTTCAATATGTAATTTTAGTTTATAAGCTATTATTTTTCCCCCTTCTGGTTTTCTCTTCCACTCTTTTATTTTATTTTATTTTATAACTTATTTTCATTATTGACCTGTTCTACACCCGTTTGGGTATTATGTATTTTACACATGAACGAATAAAGAATATCTATCTATCTATCTATCTAACCCTCTTTTTATTGTATATCAACGACTCATTGGAAAAAACCAAGGACCCAATATATTGCTTTGCTGACGACGCCAAACTTGTCTTGTCATTCCATTTGGATTCCAGGACATCGGCTGTGGAAGCACATCTTCACCGGCAGCAGGAGATGGCATATCTTGATGAGGATCTAAAAGTGATTTCGAATTTTGGTGAAAGTAACCGGGTTCAACTCAATGCCACAAAAAGCCAGGCATCGGTTTTCTCCAAGAAAATAAATACCTCCGAACCGGATATAATAATGTCAGGTCAGACAATTCCGCTTTCTGCTTCGATAAGTTTCTTAGGGGTTGAAATGGACATCAATATGTCTTGTCACATTCATATCGTTTTGATACTTCATAAAGCTCAGATCAGACATTCTTTGGAGTGTTGTTTTTATGTATGGACCACTCTTCTCCTAAGCATAACTTGAAGCTGCATGATTCTGCCATCCGCCCGATTGGAGACACGAACATCTCTGGGAACCTTGATAGTCCGAAACATCGAACAGAGGTTGCAAATTTGTCTCTCTTTTACGGGAGGTGTTCAAATGACTTGACACATTTGATTCCACCAAGAGCGATACATATCAGAAATACGCGACAACTGTGGCTGCTCGTCGATTTGGTGTTCAACTCAATACATCTCAAACTTCAATGCTCAAGAACTCTGCGTTTATGTGGAATAAACTTCCTGAGAACATTTTCCCAAGTGAATTTAATCTCCAGCAACTCGAATCCAACGTAAATTGATACTTTCGGACAGGCACCGCTCTTAGTGAGCCTCAAAAATTTTTCTTCAATGCTTGTATTCGTCGTTAAAAAAAAATTAAGTGATCGAAGTTAGGCCCACCATTTTTGTATCTAGATATGAGAGTAGATATGGTATAGTATCCACAGTGCAGAATTCATTTATAATTCACATAAATAACGGATAAACTTTTTTGAGGAACATTAACATATGTTGTTCATTCTGTACTCGTAATTATCAATGATTAGTTTATATTTGATAGAACATTGATAACTTAACTGAGAACGTTGCAAAATTATGTGCAAAGTCTGAAAATACATATGTACTGAAAAATTTCCTCTTCATTTAGTGATTCATGCATTTCGACGTTAAAAAGTATTGCTTCTCCTTTATCCCATTCCTCACAGTCATCATTATCGTTGAATAGGAAATAGTAGTATTTCGTGTAAATAATTCATTTGTGAATTGCAAAGCGCTTTCGGCTTTTACGCCATCATCAGTGCGATACCTGTAGGCAAGTAATAGTCGTGAAATTTGTTTGAAGTTGAATTATGAATTTCTTTTTAAATTACTTACTCGTCAAGTATATACAAGAAGATCCTTTAAAATCGAAGAAGAAAACCTTGGTAAAACTACTACGGGTAGACATGAACATTACAATAAGTACTCGTTTGGTTTTAACGCATTAATATATTATTTGGAATAATTTCCAGCATGCTGAGTACGAGGAGTAAAAGGAAGAGAAAAATTTCGACATTGACATACGGCCATCATTAATTATATAGAACATATTCACTTTGACAAATGACATATGTAGTGACCACAGTACGTAAAAGTTCTCCAAGGTGAGCAAAGAACTATCAAATTTGGATGTTGGGAAAAGTTGATTTTGAATTGGTAAATTCAGTATGATCTATTCAATTGTACTTGCGTATTCAAACAAAGGGGATTGTTATGCAATTCTTCGTCTATTTGTGAATCTTCTAGAAAATCCAAACTACTGAAATTTTTTTAAATGACTTTCATCAGTCACGTGTATGCAGCTTTAACAAATCTCACCATCATTATCGTTAACCGTTATTTCTTCAACGATCATAATTCGATACTCGAATGGTGCATAACCCCTGTCTGTGACGAAATATGAAAAGTAGGGACAACAAAAAAGTAGAAATTTATTTCAAAGTGTGTGTATGTGAGATCCCATTTTGATAAGCATACGCACTTTTTCAGTATTTACTAATACTGTATTTCTTCACGTTGATTGGATGGGTAGGGTCAAAATAATACTTCACAATTTACACAAAAATGACATTGTTTCGACACACTGTGTCATCTCTTGAGCGAGTCATAAACTAAACTAGGTACATGACGTCATCTCCTTTAATACCAGAAGTTGCATTGGTAGGTAGAGAGAGGCATCAAGGAGTAATTTAAATATCTATCTACTCATTAAGAACAATGTTTATTGTTTCCATTAGCAAAATGTTTATGGATTTTAACAGATTCCGATATTTTTGATATCAAACTCTTTGGTTCAATGTGTAGAATTTCAAGATTTTGTTTGAAATTGTGAGTGTTTTCTATGTGATGATTGGCGTAATTGAGATCCAGTTTATTCAATCTGTATCTTCTAAAATGCTCCTCGAATCTATGGTTGAAACTTCGGCCAGTCTGTTCTATATATAAAACATTGCTGTCTTCAAACTTAAACTTGTAGACACATTTATACCTTGTTTCTGAAAGAAACTAAATATTTTGTTTGTAGAATAACTGAGATTTGTTACACTCTCAAAAAGATGGTCATTATTTTTTTTGATTCGAGGGTGGATCAAATTCAAAGTTTTGTGGTTTTGTTTTCGTCTACGATATCCGTTCAGTTCAATTCTTTTGGAAGTTTGACTGGACTTGCTGGATATTTTCAAGGTTGTGTATTATGGAGTGGTATGCTGCAGTTTATGAGAGGGTGCATATATTGATTGTGAATTATTATATCTGTATGTGTGAGTTATTGATATATTGAAAAAATTGTGAATGCTGTTTGAGTGGTGGATATTCAAATCAAGGAAGTTCAGTGAATTGTGATCTCTTTTCGATAATTCATTGAATTACTTTTTACAACGGTTTCAATGAAACCTATGTAATATATGATTCTCAAACCTGAACAATGGATAATCTTGATCATTGTCTAGATGATTGTCAAACCTGAACAATGGATAATCTTGATCATATTGATTATTGTGTTTCATTTCTGTTATGAATCCTGAAACACTGCTGGAGACGTACTTCTTGTGCATTCGTGAAACATAAAAATGTAAGTGAAGCTGTATAAAAATTATGCAAGGTCAGGAAAAAATGAAACACAGTTGAACTCAGTGAAATACTGGAAATTTTATAATGCAAATATATATTCGTTGTCAGCGAGAATTTCTCCAAGTTTTTTCTTGATTATTTTCATATTTTTATTATTTTCTTAATCCTAGAAAAAACTCCTCTTATCGTGTCTCCAATGGATCCCGCGGTACCTTTAAGCCGAGCGTTTTTCCAAGTAGTTTATCGGCACTTTTTCGCTTCCCTGCGAAGTCAGATTTTGCCTTGAAAGAAAAACAGTGATTATTTGAATATACTCATTCTTAGGGCAGTTAATAGAGAAAAAGATGAGTTGAAATTCAACTTCATTCCTTCATATAATTGTTGTAGAATGAATTTCTGTCGTAAGTAAGTAATGATATATAATTCAGTCGGTATTTTTCGATTACTTTATTATATTTGGCACCCAACAAAATGTTTTGGAGCCAAAACAGACCATCACCAACCATACTGAAGTTAAACGTTGACACACCCTATTGATTTCATAATAAGAGAAGCCTCCATTGAAATTTCATGTCAAAGGTCCAACTCTAACAGACAACGGATGAGAAAAGATGGTACTGAATGGGAACCTATAGTTTAACAAAAAAGTTGACGATTCTCAATGTATTTTATTTTACTGAATACACAATTACGAGAAAATCATTTTCTTCACTTCTTCTTTTTGAACATTAATCGAATCATGGTTTTCAGGTTTGTATAAGGAGTGAACATTGATATACCCAAGTTGATCGTCGGGATAGATGAGCCCAGGATTTTTGTTTCCAAAAATCTATCAATTCTAAGTGCCAGTCTATCCATCAATCCAGGAGTTCCAATAATTTCGTCCGTGGTAGGACGTTTTTTGGCACTGCAGACAACTGAACCCTTCAGAAGAGAAAACAGGGTTATATAAATGAAATTTGAAGCGCAACAACAGAGCATCCTGTAATTTTCCTTGATATTTTGATCATCACAGTACAGAGTTTTAGAGATAATACCTCTAAATTTCATTTGAGAGGCGTTTGGGTGGTAAAATCGTTTTATTGGACAAAATTTAGTGAATGCGTTTTAAGATAATCAATGATTTTGTTTCGTCTCTTTTATTTTGTTCTTATTCCAGCTAAATATTCTTTTTCTTGAGAAAGTGGCTCTTCATGAGTGAATCAGATATACAAAGAATGGTCAAGAGTGACACAAAAATATACCTCGGTTTCACTTTCTTCAGAACAAGGAGAAAAACATACGAAACTCCGTTCCAATTTTATGTCATTGAAACAGAAACCTCACCAGAACTCACTGCTGATGCAGCTTTAGTGTGAAGCTCATAGTGAGGCTGATTTTTCAAAGAAACAAAGTAGTTGAGATATTCAGCATCATGAATGAAAAAGATTGTGAAACACTTCGTTAAACAGCTTCAAAGATGGAACGGTACATTTGTGATACATCATCAAAATAGTGTCGCAGTATTCACTGCATTCAGTACACAAACTCTGAAGAAATGAAGAAATCAGTCCAAGAAATAAAGCTGGAAGAGAAAAAATTATGCTGCGATTTGATTATTCTTGAATAAAGAGAGAGAAAGATGGAGTAGTAGAAAGCCAAAAACTTTCTTTCTTATTGATGAACCGCACTTCGAATTCGGAAAGAGCAAAACCTTGTTCCTTAGAGATGATTTCGACAATACATTCATGATTCAGTGTAACACCGGTGATACCTATGGCAGACTGAAGAAGAGCAACGATCTATATCTGTATCTGTAGGGTAGGGATTGTAAGCCCACAATACTTAGGCCACATAGGACCCATTGTACATCCTCCCGAGGAGTTGTCCACCTAGGTCATCGTCCATCCCCTCCAAAACAGGACCAGGCCAAGACTCGCCGAACACACACTCTTTTATTGACGATAACTCCGGGCACTCGCATAGGACATGCCTGACAGCCTCGTCTTCCTGTTCACACATCCTGTGTCCACTATCCCCATATTATGGAGGTGTTTCCTCAGTTGACAGTGGTCAGTCAGAAATGCAACTGTTGAGCGTAGTTTTTTCCTGGTCATCACCATATATTTCTTCGGCGCCAGCTTCCCAAGGTCGCCAAGGGTGATCCTGGCAAGATTGCATCTTTTGATTTCATCTCATCTCTTTAGGGATTGAGCATGTGTGTCACATTTGGCTAGATATGGGTTCTTATTTCAATTTGAAGTGACAATTGCCAGGAAAACAAACAACCAATTTCATGATATTCGTGAATTGAGTCTTCTTTCGATTCAATAGATGGGGTTTTCGTAAGGAAAGATGTCATCGTATGTATCTATTCAGGCTTCATTTGATTAATTGAAATTATCCATGTGTTTTTGATTCCATATTTTTCTTTGAAGAAATGTAACCTCAGCTGTAATCCTAGTATTGTACATTCTAGTATCCTTCACATACTTTAGATTCTTTCTGATAGTTTTTGTTGTCCTGAATATTGGTTTTCACGTTGTGTTCACCCAATTTATTCCTGTGAAACTTCTGTAAAAGGACAACTGATTGAATTGGACACCACAGTAACCGTTTTTTGTGAACGATTTACAGGAACAACTAAAGTACACCTCAGCGTGTTGAATCCAACGTGAAGGCAAGTGATGAATGATGAAAATCATTCAACAACAAGTAATTTCATGACAGGTTGCAAACTGATTTTAATTTTTCACATTTTTTTACAACAGAAAATATACTGATCACGAATCCAATCAGTTACCATTAGTAATTCTAATTTTCATTTTCTCAGTATTCATGGATAACTGGTCTTTGAACTACTTGCTTCACTCTGTCATAATTATCCGACCATGTCTGTAGATGACTGAGCAAAAAAAATTTTTCCTTGGATTTACACCCTGTTACACTGGAGTTTTTGGGTTTGTTGAAGGAATATTAAGGCTTCAATACTATCAGATACATTTCGGTAATTCTGAATGTGCTTAGATATGGATTATGGAAGAATGGAAGGATGTAGGGTGTGGATCTCAAGTGATGAAGATGATTACTAAGTTAGCAAATTCCTCCACAGGATTATTCATTTCAAGAATGTCAAGTCATTTCATAGAAAGTCAAAATGCAAACGAATTTTATGCGTCAGTTGACTTCATCTATTCAAAACCGAAGGAATCACCTCTTTCAATAAATATTTTTCCAAATAATTTTTTTTTCACATATTGTGACAGTATGTTCCCCTCTAAGGACTTACAATCCTTTGGTATTGAATGGTTGGATATATAAACTATTCTGCAAGTCACAAATACGTATCAATCATATGAAAATACCTGGAAACCTGTGTCCACTCCTGACCTGATGCCTTCCTGCTGAGTCTGGGCCACCATGATACCCTTCAAAAAAAGGAGAAAGCGTTGAAATTCAAATAATTTGAAAGAAACTTCAATTGGATGACAATATAACATTTTAAAGTTATTATGTGAATGAAAACAATAGATAAATCTATTTTAGATAATAAGAATGTCGAGAAGTATTGAAAAAATATTCAATGAAGTTGAAGAGATATATCTGCCTGCACCCCTAATGATTTGAAAATTCCAAATTTTTCCATAGAATGGCCAGGCCCTCAATTGTCATTTAGTTACGCTTAATTGATCAAACACCGAAAGTACGTCCATTCGATGATGGGACTGAAGAGTGTGAAACGTTATTTTCAAACGTCCAACAAAAACTCAGCGACTCGATGACGAAGTGGGACTGTTGAACTAGCATAGTGCAGCCGTAAAAAGTCTCTTCTCCCTATCAACTTTCCAATGGAAAGAATATCAAGATTCGAGTAAATTTACATTGAAAGTAATCGTTTTTAATAGCAATTTTTCCCTTTTTTCTGGATTAGAAATTATTGAAGTAGACCTAACAAAATTAAATGACTGATTCGAAAAGGTAAACGAAATAAGGGGATTGAGTGAATTAACTAAATTCTTTGATATTTTGCACGTTGTGTTTTACTGTTCTACTGATTAAAAAACGTCTCACGTAATCCACATCCCCTGCTAGGCGTAGGTTGGCCTCAGGGGCAATCCATGCCTGATAATCGGTCGGTAGTCGGTCGGTTCGACGTGGGTGCTTTGTTCACTCACTCGAATCGACCGCTGTGTTGGTCGATAGTTCAAGCCCCAGGCTGAACGATCGATTTTCACATGCCATCGTCCAACCCAGGTTAGGAATCACACGTTGAAAGTTAAGACCACGTTAGTCCTCAACTCCCACAAGTTTTGACTTCTAAGAGTTGTCGTACGTAGGGGTACGATAGCTGGTTAATGAAAAACAGATTTTAAACAGATTTTCAATTAGGGGAATACTCGAATGACAACAAAAATTGGCACATCTGATTCAATTTCACATGAAACTAACATATGTTTCAACGAGGTTTAGTCAGTAACGTGTATTATGAAGTTTGTCTGTAAATGAAGTTGTTCCGTCTTTATCCATCGTACAATTTCCTTCTTCTTTATTTTCACTACTATTTTGCTCACCCTTGTTTTCTGATAGTGTTTTTCTTGCCTTCGAATTTTATGTTCACGCCACGGTATCACTGTGTTTGCCTCAATTTTTGAATATATCGCGTATCCAAGTAGATGAAGCGAACTAAATAGTTAGGTATGTAAGTTTCACTTATTCTAGATTCAAAATAATTTCTTCCTCTCGGTAGTCCATCGACGGAATCCCGAAACACCGAAAACATTTAAATTCATTTCTACTGAAATACAGTCTACGTACATTGATTGAAATCTTTTTAATATACATAGCTTCCTTAAAATTGCAATCGTTCCGGAAAATGAATATACATATTTTCAATGGGGGCATTTTCCACCAATGATATTTCAGGTTTTGAAACTTGAAATCATTCATAGTGAAAAGTTAAAAATACTGACTAATTTTAATTTGTCGCAGTAACTCTTCAGAGTGAACATTTTGATTTGCTCTTCCTATCTGGATTCCATTTTTTTTAATCGTAGAAGGATTAAACTCCAAATATATCAAAGGAAATAATTTTCCTCGTGGTGATTTGGATTATCAACATGTATTTCTATTTGATGGGATAATATTGAATATTTTCTCTCCATGTATCCACCTCCGTCATCCAACTCCTCCTCCTCCGTTATAACACTGTTCTAGTTTTTCAGGTGAAAGAAATACCTATCTACAAATTCATTTGTAGCTGGATATATAATTACATCATGAACTACTTCATTTTTGATGAAAATGAAATAGTAAATTTACGAAATGACTGAAATTTTCATGAAAAATACTGAAACTTCGCAGTACATTTGAACTGGTCGGCAGAATTTTGATTACTTTGGAAGTTATATTTTGTCCGAATTTGAGTCAAATAAAAAATTCGACTGCGATATTTCATTCTCTGGTTCAATTTACTACCATCGGTGAAACAAACGTCTGCTAACATTGTCAAATTTTTCCTATCCCAGTTGCAATTCCAACTACTGCAAAATGAAGATATACTGAAATTTCGTTGAAATTATTGATTACTGTAACAACATTTCCAAACATTTTTGATAACCTGAACAGAATATTTCTGATCGATTCGGCCCTTACTTGGTGAAGATCCATAGTAATTGATCTTCACAAACTTTATTTTCAAAAAATATACCACATGTTTCGCTATTACAGTACCTTTTTCGCATTGAAAATTCGAAAAAGCTACTGTGATAACGAAACACTACTTTTTGACTATAGCACTCGAACGAATATCAAACCACCGTGTTAAAAATCACGCGTTCAAAGGTAAGACCTCGTTAGTCCTTAGCTCGTACAAGTTAGACTTCTTAGGGTTGTCGTTCGTAGGGGTGCGATAGTTGGTTAACGAAAAAACAGATTTTAAACAGATTTCAAACAAGATATTCGATTTCCCATTGTGCATTTCTATTTTCATTTTGTGGCCTCTTTCTATAGTATTTCTGTATATTATTCAGATTCCACTCATGCAGTTCATATGAACAGAAGCAATAAAATATACAATTTGGAATTCATAGGTATTCTATCTTTTGCATGCTCTTCTGGAAACTGGAATCTCTTTTGGAAAACTTGTAAGAATTGCATCTTCATAATGGAATAGTGGAATACTGGGTCTATTATTCTTATATTCGATTTATGATAATAGATTTGCAATTTTTCCATAATAATCACATATTTTCAATAACATTGATGTATTATCGCCTAGTTAAAAGCCTTGGCCTTATCTTTCATGACCTCATTTGCCTAATATATACAAATGGCTGTTTTCGAAGGCACCGTTCGTGAATGTTTGATGAGAAAAGTAATCACTATTTTTTTAAGACGTAAAAAAGACTGTGAGCCCCGAAAAGACGCAGTAATGAATTATACCTTTCTTCATTGACTTGCTCAAGATCTTTGCATGGTGAACCGATATGATATTGAGGGTCGATAAAACAAAAAATGCTATTTCAACAGAGTCATCGATGAGTCTCGATATTATATCTTCAACTTCTATTTCCCTTCCCACGTTATTGAATTCTCCATCCCGAATTTCATCTGACGATATCTCGGAATGTTCATCTCTCCAACAAAGAACCTGGTAGATGCCTGCCGAAAAATAACTACTTCCCTAGCTAATACCTAGCTGAGACACACATATATGCAAGACACCTTACAGGTTAGTCTAGTAGATGTTTTTCATCCATCCGGAAGCATGACAATGGTGAAATCATCCGATTAGATCACCTACAGACCTGTTTAGAGGTATTACCTCTCGTCATTGCAGGAAATTTTCGATCCAAACAGCAAAATGCCTGGAACTCTTATCAATTTCACCGCCGCTCAACTGCAACTAGTGAACGTTTCATCTCATGAACAAAGCTCCAAGCGAGGAAAAAACATCCCATGTACCAATACTCTAACAGAGATCAAACCGTGTCTGAAGACTGTATCGAACAGAGATATATATATACATACTAGAAAATATTGCAAAATGAATTATTCATCTGAATATGCCGAAATTAACTTTCATCCCATGTGCATAATAATCCAAAAGCTTGAAGAATTTACAGACCTCAATCAAAACAATTCTGTTCCCCAAACTGATGAGTTTCAAATGCCAGGGAATATACAATCCAACTACCCTATGAGTGCAAATTTGTAGCAGTAATTTCATTTTCGACTCATCAGTCAGATCTGCCGTGTATGCTCATACTTGTGGCGTTCTTACTGCAATTACCTCTTGTGACAGGCGTAAATTTATCTCGAGGTAAGTCCTTCCAGCATCCAGATGGCATAGGACAGTTCCATCTAGGAGCAAACCTTGTTTTGATAGAAACTATCACTTGTTTATCTCAAATTCCATACTGATAGCATGCATATATTCTTCCTCCATAACCGATATTGCTCCTATTCTCTTCTAGCATAGTATGAGATCATTCATACACCAGTCATGGGACTGGGGAAACTGTCCAAAGTTTATATGCTTTTGATGAACCATTACCAAGTACAAAATGTTAAGTTCATATATTCTCGTTATATCATTCAGTGGAAGGCAGAGTTCTCGAAAACCTGATGCCTTCATAGGCTGCACCCTGAACCTTTGCCTTAGAGAGAGGTACTCCAAATTCAAAATTCTCTTTCCCACCCGTGAAAAATGCTTCAGTATTGTGATAACGAGAGTTAACAATTTTCTAAATAAACTTCGATATTTGACGTTTACAGCGACAATAAAACATATAGAGAATGGGCTTCATTTGAACCATCTTGAATCCCGTTGAGAACAAAATTATCAAAACTTACCAAAACGAGCACTAAAGCACACACAAACATAAACTTGTAGTTACTCATAGTGAGAAAGTACGTATCTGTAGGGCACCGTTGCACGTTCAAACTTTATATACCGATTTTCCCACTCGGTTCAATGATTTTTCATAACTAATTTCACAAATGATAAGAAATTATCTCGATTTTGAATTTTTTTCAATATTACCATCAATTAGTGAAATAATTTTACATTTTCAATTTCAGTTACACAAATTGTGACGTTCGAAAAACGAGGAAGTTTCGTTCATCTTTGATATTCAAGAATTGCGTTTTCTGACGTTTTTTCTTCATTGGGGAAGATTTCATCATTCGTACTGTATTAAGTTCATTACACAGAAAGGATCGAGTGTAGCAATGCATAAAGAGTAGTAATGTGGAATTGTCAACGGCTTCTTTGGCATATTTGTCGGCCAATTCGATACCTGTTATGCCAGTATTGTCATAATTGAGAACTACCTTCACCATGGAAATACGGTAAACCTGTGGTATAGGACTTCACTTGCGTTGACACGGTCACGGCTTCCCATCTGGCAGAAAGTTCGAAGTTTGCTGGAACCGCAGCATTATCTGGCGAAAAATTGAAATGAAAAATATACCAAAATCATGGTATCAACTATCTGTTCCATCCAGTAGCGGTTGAAGTTTATAGTGTTTATGGCCTGGAGTCTCTGTATATTGTTCATGAACTCGAAAGGAGAATAGACCAAGCAACGATAGATCACCGTTCTACTTCTTTTTTGATAAAAATAATTAGTATTGCTATTCAACGTGATGATGCAGCTTCAGTCCTTGAAACTATTCCTTCTTCACATAATTTTGATGATATCATGCATTGCCATCTTTTCAGTACTAAAATCTCTTCGAAACAAGCCGAGATATGTGGATTAACATCAGTGTCCTATCAATGTTAATTCGCAAATGATTGATCCAGTTTCTTCTTTTTCAGTGAGGTCAATGAATTTAGGTCATTCTTGTTCCCCAAATATGAGTTGCAGTCTTTGTGGTTCTGGTTCTCTTTCAGTGGAAGAGCTTCATGAGAAAAGAGCCGAATCGATTCCTCTACGAGATCCTTCATCGCTTGGAAGAATCGATTGCGACTTGGATAATGATTCTTATGCAGATTCTGTTAAACATGTTTTTTTAAGAATAAGTAGAGAGTTGTTCTGAAAATCTTGAGAAAAAAATTGGATTAGATAATTTAGAAAACACTGGCTACCTGAATAGCATTTTACAAGTGTTGTTCATGACGACGAATTTCAAGAACGAGGTTTCAATGATGAACGAGAACAAGAATGTTTCCTTCTTATCCACCAAACTCAACGCCTGTTCATGCAGCTGCTGTTTCGTGAGAATATATATTCTTTCCCTCCAACCGATTTCCTATAATCTTTGAAGTCTACTAGAGGATTGTTCCGAATTCTTGGGGTTCTTGTTGAATACTCTTCTTGAGCAGAATAGCAGAATCAATACTCCTGACCGCTCTGGATTGAATGATTCCGTATAGTCCATCTCGTCTTGTGTTTGTAAAGTTTTTGCTGGAAAAAATCGTCACCTGTTAACTTCATGTAAATGTTCAAAAGGTGGCAAAAACCTATGTGAATTTCTGGAACTTCAACTAGCTTTTCCTAATATGACTAATAACTAGTCCGTAGAAAGCTTATTGTTAAATCATCTGAAAATAGAACTTCAATAGGTGATGATTGACTGTATTGCCAAACATGCGCCAAACCAACTTACTGTTATAATGAAGCAAGTATATCTGAGGCACCAGTCAATCTAATAATAACACTCATGATTTTCAAACATGACTCATCCTTTGACGTAAGCACCAAACTTTTACGAAGGTTCAAAATAGATGAACACTTCAATCTAACAGACTACCATTCTGGAGTTGAATCTGTTCATTATTACGCCTTTGTCAAAGACGAAACGTGCTGGTTTAAGTTTGACGATAGTTATGTCACTAAGAATTCTGGCGATGTATTGAATTCATTGGAGCCTCTGGAGACACTCTACATTTTGTTTTATGAGAGAGAGGACATTGGCAGATAAATATCTTCAGATGATTTGGGGCTGCAGGTTTTTCCGGGTTTTCCTGCAACTGAAAAAGGATCTCTTGGAGCCTATTATTACCAAGCAGTAATCCACTATCCTTTGATCCGTCCTCCAACTCGACTAAATCATGTTACAGTAAATATTTTGGACAATTTGCTCTCAGTGTCATTTTCAATTGCCATTTTTATGCAGCAACGTTATTGCATATACTTCTCTTGTTTAAATGGGCATACTATCAGGAAATATTTATTTTCTCAGTGCATTTTTAAAAGAAAATGCACATGCTCCGCTCCCGTTAGTTTTGGAGACACCCCCAAAATTCATATCGTGGAAGGGGTATTGCGTATCGATGATAAGATATATTAGTTGTGGATTTGAATCTTTTTCCTTTAGTTGTATGATGAAGTGAGGTAGAAGGATGAATCACGAAAAAATAATATGGACGAAAGAATCCTTCACTGGGAAAGGGTAGAGTAGTTGTATTTTCATACTCCGATTCATGATTGGATGAAAATTCTTTTGGGGTTTTGCAGCTTGCCGTTTTGTCGCGAATCATAGGCTCAGCTCCCATCTTCTCATTTTGAACAGGGGTTTAGCAAGTTCAAATAGAAAGCTGTATTGGGATAATTTTAAAGCCACATATATGCTTTAAGCAGTGTTCTATATCAAATTGAGGACTTTGAGAGTACTGCCTGTAGCTGATGAGTAGTGTACGTATCCAAAATTGATTTTTCATTAGAATATCGTCCAATATACTTACAGTGAAGATTTGCCGCCAAAGACCTATTGTTTGTTTGAGAGAAGATTCAACATTTGATGACATTCTGCTAATACATGTTATATGTGCGATTTCCAGATTAATGACTGATCGAGTGTGAGTCTCAAATATTACATTTCATTGGCATATTTCAGTTTATGTTCTTCAAATTACAAGAGAGGTAGATTCACGTTGGTTTTTTGGGAAATACTATGCATTCGATTTTTTGCGAATAAGATATTTTGTATTGTCTGTATACACCAGCTGAATCCTAATTATATGTGTGACGTTCAGAAATGAAAAAGTTTATGGAACACCATAATTCATGGAAGCACCTGACTATTATTTGCCTCAGATCGAGTGGGCTCAGGTCAAAAACCGAAGAAGTCATCATTGCTATACAGGATGATATCGCCTCAGCCGCTTTTGATGCTTAATGAAGCTCAGATCAGATCTTCTTTGATGTATTGTTCTCTTGCATGGAGCTCCGCCCTGAAGCATACTTTGAAGCTGCTGGATTCCATCCAGAAAATAGTTATTCGCCTGATTGGAAACAGGAACTATTGGAACTACTCCGTATTCTAAGTACTTTTCAAGTGACCAGACGGGATAGACAGATTGTTTATTGAATATTCAATAAAAGTTCCGAAACATGTCTATTTTTTATTTTCAAATTATACAGATTTCTTCTACAAATATTGTGAAATTATCATCAAAAGAATGAGATAATCAATGAAATTTATTACAAAGTGAATGGAGGTGAAATATCTTGGCATTATCCTTGCTAAAATACTGACCTGGAAAGCTCACTTGGAGAAAGTTTTACACAAAGCCAAACTGTCTTTATGGACATGTCGAAGGATTTGTAGTAGAACTTGGGGTTTACATCCCAAACAAATCCAATGCATTCATGTGATGATTTTTAGACCAATGATCACTTGTAGTGCAATTGCTTGGTGGTGCAAAAACTTTACATAAAACGGCCCAAGCGAAGCTCCATGGCCTACAGAGACAGGCTTGTCTGGCTATCAATGGTGCCAACAGTACCTTACAGTCAGCGGCCATGGAGATCCTTCTAGATCTACCTCCTCTCCACATCTTTCTGGAGAGAGAGGCTAGATGGACTGCATACAGACTTGTGCACATTGCCAATTGCACAAATCAATTTAATGCAGAGTGTTGACACTAGTAGATACAGAATTCTGGAAATCACCTCTGACTTTATGCCTCCAACTGTCAACTACGAACTGTCTTATAGATAGATAGATAAATAGATAGATAGATATTCTTCATTCGTTCATATGTACAATACATAATACCCAAACGGGTGTAGAACACGTCAATAATAAAAATAAGTTATAAAATAAAATAAAAGAGTGGAAGAGAAAACACGTACGGGGAAATATAATAGCTGATACATATTAAAAGGATGTTTTTACCTATGGAGCATAACATTTTGTAAGTTGTAAAATTATATAGGACTATCTTCAAAATATTCTTCTAATCTATAGAAGTATATTTTTTTAAATCCGTAGTTGAATGTTGTTTGAATCTAGTATTGTAGTCATGTTCTAGTGTTTTGAAAAATTCATTATTTTCCCTAACAAATATTACTGCTTCAAGTATATACAGTCCCACAAGGGTAAGCACATTTAACTTAAGAGAGACAATATGGATCCCTGGGGAACACCAGCGTTTATGCTGAAAGTATTCGAGAGATATCCATTGACGTCCACTTACGGGAAACGTTCTTTTAGAGCCATATACGAAAATTATCCGCAATGACAAGCAATAGCATCGAAGTTTGGCCAACAAACCCTCGTGCCCCACACGGTCAAAGGCCTTGGAAATATCAAGCGAAAGAGCTCTTGATTCTCCATGTTTCCCGAATGCGGTATTCAAAATATGGGTGACATACGATAGGACGTCTCCTGCTGATTTTTGTTTCCAAAAGCCATATCAGTCAATATGTTAAAGCCTTCCAAATATTTGAGGATATGTTGGTTTACAACTTTCTTCATGCTATGACTGATAGCAAAGCGAATATACTTTTTGGGAAAAGGTTGAACTCGAGCAATCTTCCAACAAAAAAGAAAAACCCCTTTCTTATAAGACAGATTGAAAAGGCTGCAAAATACTGGTGCGAGTTCATTTGCGCACTTTCCAAGTACAATGACGTGCACTTCATCAGGGCCAGACGCCTTGTTGATATTGAGCTGTTTTAAAACTCACCTGACT